TAGCAGCCGACAGATTTTAAATATAATAAAATTCAATAGAATAATATTAAAATTGTTAGAAAAATATCACTCTATACAAGAGAGGGTGTTACAGTCACAAGATGGAGGAATACCGGTTCAAAGCAGTATTCAATGTTTTTTTTAGATTAGCTAAAACCCACGTCAGAAACTATCATGACAATCATGTCTATCTCCATAGGCTGAATCATCATGTTAATCGTTGTCACATAGCTATCATATGCCTAAAACAGTGTATTTTATTTGCATGCATTCATGTGCCAAATTGGCATTTTCCCATCATTTCATAACATAGGCCTACTTTAGAACTCGAAAACATCCAATCAATGCTTTTTATAATATTTAAAACGAGATGCCAAATGTATTCAGCCACCTAAAGTCATTCACTACTTCAAGCTAAAGGACAAAATACGATACAAGTTTAGGAATATTCTCCTTCAAAACATCAATTTCAACAAAGGAGTCATGTTTTCTTTTCTTTTTTTCTTTTGTGTTAAACGTGTGAGGCAGAAAACACCTGCTATCCGGTGGGCCTGAGGTGGGTTTCACTTACATTTGCTTCAGAGCAGTGTATTTATTTTACATGAACAAAAATAAAAGGGTGTCCAAAGTGTCACCAGAGCCACATCCTGTCTCTGCATCTCTGGAAAGACTTTACGTCCTCTGCAGGTTTGTCATTAATAGCATTCCAATTTCTGTCTTACCGAGAAGGAGATGAGGATAAAATCAACCCTCAACCCCACCTGACATGTGACTACTTTCTTAAGTGAATAATCCTTAAAAGTAAAGTATGCATCGACTAAATACTCACCATCTGTTGCCTCATTAACTGATGTTTGTCATTATGTCATAAAGTGTACATTTAAGTTGGAATAAAAAAGATATCCACAATAAATATGTGTTATTATTTCACAGTGTTCGTGTTCTTTGTATAGATGAAATAAAAAGACTGCTACGTAAGAAGTGGCAGTGGTAATGTTGTATATAGAGTGCCTGTTAGACTGTGCGATTATTATATGATTTGCTGTTTCATCTGCAAAAAAACGTGGTTTAGGATGTCAAAGATATCAGAAAAAAAAACGACACAAGAGCATGTCGAAAATATGCACAAAAGAAAGGTCAAATTCAAAATAAATACTAAATATTTTAAAAAGTGGCGATCATAATTAATTAATGCCATAACAAAAACATTAAAAAGTGCATAGTAATGTCAAAGAGAAAATATATTATGGATTACTACCGTATATGGAATTTAAGAGGAAAAACACGACGGCTAAGACCTTCGAGTTGTGGGAGTATTTTTATTGACTGATGGTAGACACCAATAGAAGTTACAGTTTAGGAAAACAATAAGTTAGGAAAAATCTTGTTAAACTGATTAGATAATGATATTCTGGTGAGGCTATTTACTGTTAGTATAAGGATGTGCAATCTGTGTGTGAATAAATTATTTAGAATACAGCGCACTGTCATACCACGGCTCCCACTAAGCCTTACAGCAACAGGTCAGTTTGTTTACAGTCTGTTGGAAATGCTGGAATGTTAGTATAAAAGTGTTTGTGTGTCAGACAGACTTGTACTCTCTGTCCCAGGCCGTGTATCTGTCCATCAGGTTTCGGGCCGAGGGTTTGGTGTGTGTGAGGACCTCCAGGAAGTCAGCTGTTGTCACGGTTTCCAGCTGGATGACTGGCATGTTGCTGCCTCCTGTAAGGGAGAATCACAGCGAGGCTACATAGTTTAAATCAGGGACAGAGAAACACTGCTGCTGTGAGGGGACGTCTCCTCATGTAGCTGTAGGTTGTGTGTGTGTGTGTGTATGTGTGTGTGTGTGTGTGTGTGTGTGTGTGTGTGTGTGTGTGTGTGTGTGTGTGTGTCCTTACCGTCCTGATGTGACTCCAGAGCATCAAAGATCTTGCGCACTGGTCTCATGGCGGACTCCTTACACACCAGCTTCACATCAGAGCCAGAGTAACCCTCCATCCCCTGAATCACACAGTGACATAAGGCTGGCTGATAATTAAGATCTATGTCAATATAAATATTCTTATTTTATCTTTACTGTATATTGCAGATTTTTACTTCAACTTTTTATGTGTATTTAAATATTTTCTGATTTATTTTTAATCGTTAAATTAGGTAACTGTAACAAAACCTAATATCCTCCCTGGAATATATAAAGCATTCTGGTTGGGATTCTGAGATGCACCGGGTTTTGATTGGGCTGTATATTCACAAAACATGACTCAACAAATTTTTTTCGTATAATGTATTCCAATAAGATCAATACTGTATTTAAGAAAGACAAACAAAATATAGATGCTTGTTACATTATTCTCACTGTCACACACCTTGGCCAGAGTCTCATAGTCCAGCTCAGTGCGTAGCTCCACCCCTCCTGTGCAGCTGAGAGGAGGCAGCCAATGAGAGACCATGGCTTGGCGAGCTGGCGAGGAGGGCAGACCAACCAGAATCCTCTTCTCTAACCTCCGCAGCATGGCGTGGTCCAGCTCCCTGAGAGAAGAGAGGGTTAGGAGACTGTGGACAGATGTGTGTGTCTTGTTCAGTTATAGTCCAAATATCCTGAAGAATAAATGTATCTTTAAACATTTTTATTGAGAGTGGAATCACAATGAAAGTGAATATTCAAAAATAATTAATGCAATATAAAGTTCTTTTTTTTTTTTTTTACAAAGCTAATTCAACCACCATTCTCTTTGAATGACTCATAGAAAAAAAGAACAATAAAATAATAATTATATTTTTAACATTTAATATATATTTATTAGAAAAAGCCATGTTGTTTTGTTACAATTCACGTAAATAATACGTATTAATGAATTTTAGCTAACTAGAAATGTTCTTTTCTTTGATGAAATCCCTAAACGCAACAAATAATTGAGTTGTTTTTTAAAAATAAAGAGGAAATAAAGTATAATTGTTTGTGTTTGTCTGCTTTTCCCACATCCGAAGGAACACAAACGCACATAAAATCCTGTCACCATCATTAGGAAAGATCAAATGAAGATGGCCGCTGAGGTCTGACAGTACAGTATGAGGGGGGGTCATGTTGAGGTGTTACCAGGGCAGGTTGGAGGCAGCCAGAACAAACACGAGGTCCTCTGACCGGGCCAGGCCGTCCATCTGCACCAGCAGCTCCGTCTTCATCCTGCGACTCCCCTCGTGCTCCCCCCTGGAAACACATCAGTCTGTCACACCAGTTATATTCACCGCCTCTCAACGCTCTTTATTGTGAAATGATTCAACTATAGGTAAACCACTTGGTTATCTTACAGTGATCTTTCAACTGTCATCTGTTTGACTTTGATTAGTAATAATTAGTGTCATAACTATGGTTAAAATGCTCATTTCAGTTCTCTTGCTTGGATACAAATACCATACATGATGATTGAGAACTATTTGACTCAATGTGTGTTTATTTATATTGATTGCTCATTATTGAAAATGAATGGTCTTTGAATTGGCTTAACTGTTATACAAAGTGAATACAAATTAAATATAACAGTTTAGTTACTATATTCTGCAGGTAAATAGTTGTAAGAAAACACAAATTACAGATGATTCACAGTAAGTTAAATGTTTTACACAAGGACAGTTGTACAGTCACACCATTGTCAGATAATCTAGTGCAGGGAGTGAGTCCCTAATGCCCAGGGGCCTCATTTATAAACGGTGCGTACGCTCAAAAGACTGCGTACGCCAGTTTCTAAGCAATGTTTGCGATTTATAAAAAACAAACTTGACGGGAAAACGTGCGGTCCTCCACGCAAACTCTGACCCATGCGTACGCACTAAGCACAACAACGGGAGGGACGAGAAACAGCTTCACCGTTGGCAGAAAGAAGAATGGAGAGAAATATGTGAAAATAATACCATAAATAAAATGTTACCTCATTTATCATATATGAAGAATTCATTTGCAAACATTGTTTAAAGCCAATCTTAAAATGATTAAACAAACGCCTGTTTGAGACTCCTCAGTGCACACAAAAACATAACTTGGAGAAATAAATATATAAGGATATGTTATTGAAAACCACCTCGAACATGTTGTCTTCTTAATGTTATGACATGTTCTCATAAATGATGCGGTAAGCAGAAGGACAGAATTACGTCTTAACTGAGGCCGTTTTGCATTTCTATAGGTTGTATAGATACGAGCATGGTTTTATATACTATCATGTTTAATCGTGTTTTATGCCGTTTGCCAAGACTTGATAAGTCGCTCGTAAAACACAGGAGGTATGGAAACTAAGAACACCATATATTTGGTAGATTTGGAGATTTGGCAGCTGATATAACTCAACACATTAGTTTTATTTCATTTAACTGGTGGATATAGAGTTGCTGCGGGGGCGTTGAGTCGCACAGGCTGCAGTGGAGACGCTGCGCACAGCTGATCGACAGCTGGAACACAAACCACCAAATAAAAAATANAAAGCCTTATGGGGGGACAGGGCTGCTGAGCCTAGAGATGGATCTGTTGGTTTACCAGCTATTCATACTAAATCAGTTGTCCCTCCTCCTGGTGCCAGGACCAACAGATCCATCTCTAGGCTCAGCAGCCCTGTCCCCCCATAAGGCTTTGCAGTCTTGCCATGCTGTCCTCTGAAAGCCAGTTGGCTAGAAAGCTGGACTTCAAAGACTTGATCAGTGACTTTGCCTGTAAGAAGGCTAGGCGCTGGGCTCTTGGTGAGTAAGGCTGAGCCAGGGCTCGTAATAACTGTTAAAGGGCAAGGCTATGGTAACGGTATTGGATCACTACACACAAGATGCATGATGAGAAAAAGACTGAGAACAGGTAATAGGCTCTGATTTAGCACCACCATCAGGCCTTTTCACTTCCATTTCCGTTTTGTTGTCCATTTACACTTTAATACCCGCTCATTTTGTAGTTGGTATGTATATTTAATTAAAAAATCTGCTGCTTAAGTTATTTTTTTTGTTATAGCATTTTATAAATGATAATATNTGACACTTGGTGAGTTCCCTGGAACACCGGGGACACATATTCATGTATAAAAGACGTACAAAAGTGCATTTTGCATGATAGGTCACCTTTAAGTTATATTTATTTTGATTTTTCAATGTTCCAATCCAAAAATGTTATTTAAAAGGCATGTACACCATAAAAGATGACTATTGAGGTCTATTGTCAGGAATGTTAGTGTTATATCAAATAGTGAATTCTGCTGCAGCAGAATGTTGCAGTAGAATTTGCAGTCTGCACAGTGTTATATTTTCACAGCTCAGTGTCAGTAAATATTGTGCGGTTGGACTACAGTTTATACAGTTAATACAGTTTGAAAGGTGAGTGATTTGTAAAATATTCACAAAGAAAATAAATCTG